CCTACCCTACTCTCTCTAATTATGCCCTACCCTTCGTACCAAGCCATACCCTATTCTACCATTTCCTACCCTAATCTTTTCTTCTCTACTTCCTTCTCCCTCCTCCATCCTATCCTAACTTATATTATTATTCTATCCTATCTTATACTATCCTACCCTACGCTCTCTACCATACCCTACCAAGCCATAGAAAATAGGTTTAAACGTATAAAACCAATTGTAAAATAAGTAGACTTTACGTGACTCGCAATATCAAAAGTCGAAAGATTCGATTAAACTGCGAGTAAGTTCTTTAAATTTAAGTAAGTTTGGGCCCCATTTAATCGGAATTTAACTTTTTTAAACGTCCATTCTTTATTGTTCCAAGGCTCTTCCTTCATTTTTTCATTTTGTTTCGAATGTTTTTACTTTATTCAAAACAAAAAAAAACGAAATTGAGTTAGACATTGGGTTCAACTTTTTTAAAAATTTAAAAGTTTAAATAAATTTTAATTTTAAAATCAAAAAATCGAAAAAACATGAGATAATGTACTGTTAAGCATTAAAAAAGCAATAAAATACTAAAAAACACCTATTAAACAGCCAAAACCTTCTAAAATACGAAGAAAGTCAATTGCGCAATCCCAACAGCACCACTGCCATCCCCAGAACGAGGTCAGGGAAGGGAAACAGTTGCGGATTAGCGAGGGAATAATAATTCGTTGAAGCATTTCCTTTCCATAATATTGGCCAAATAAGAAAAGGCAAAGTGCGATGACCGGAAAATTGGCAAAAAAGAGATTACTCTGAGGTGAAAACTGAGATTGTGTAGGTACAAGTGCACAAAGGGGGGGGGAGTTGTTTGGCATAATCTTATTATGGAATGAATGTTTTGGCATATATAAGTTAGAAAATAGTTTTTTTTATTTCTCGAAACTTGTAAAAAGAAAAATTATATAATGTTTGCTTTCCTTAAGCCTACAAAACACAAGGTTAGAAAGGGGAACGGACACTTCGCGGGTGGAGATATATGGTAACTACTATGGATTTGGCAATATTTATGTAAACTGTCAATATTACTAGGGTCTATTTAAGCCTAAAGTAACATCAAAGTAACAGAAAAAATTTTTTTTTGTTAAATTTGGTTTTTTTTAATTTTTACATTTTTATGGTTAAAAAAGAGTGTATTTTTCGAAAACCGTGTCAACTACTATAGGAAACTGACGTGGACTTATAAAAATTATAATTTTGACAAAAATTAACTAATTTTAAAATTTTAAAATGATTTTATATGCATTTCAACCTGAAAACTCCAAATCTGAAAACCGTTTTGTTCTGTCATCACTTTAAATGGTAGAAAAACGCAATGCCAAGTTTTGCCAATTTGGCGGGAATTTGAATTTTTGACAAAATTTTGTTTAAATGTTAGTTGTGTTGGTTTTTGTATTGTATAAATACTTTCACTTCAAATTTTAGTAAACTTTTACCAACCGATAACAAAGTTACTGCATGTCAAGTCAAAAGATACCACAGTAACCCAGTAAATACACACGATAAAAAAAGTTAAAGTCAGAAATACAATTTTTGTTAGTGTTTAGTTGTTACGTTTTACAATACTGCAAAGTTTGAAGTAATTTGAATAATTAGTTTAAAAGTTACAAGTTTTAGGTTCAAAAAATGAAGTAAAATTCTATAGGAAAAATGATTTGGGCTTGAAAAAATAGTAATTTTGGTAAAAGTTGACTAATTTAAAAATTTTAAATTGCTATAATATGCACTTTGACTTGAAAACCCCGAATCTAAAATTACTTTTTCTCGATCTTAACTCTAAATGATAGAAAAACGCAATGCCAAGATTTGCCAATTTGGCGGGAATTTAACTTTTTGACAAAATTTTGTTTGAATGTTGATGGTATTGTTTTTTGTGTTGTATAAGTACTTTGATTTCAAATTTTAATACAATTTTACCAACTGAAAACAAAGTTACTACATGTAAAGTCGAAAGATACCAGAGTAACTCTAATAATTTAGATTTTTTTCACCATAAAACGTAAGATAAACGTCATTGTAGGTTAACAATAGGCTAGATACATGTGTGAACAACGTACTGGTAGAAGCAGAAGTTAGAGGTTTTATTTTAGACTAGTTGTGTTAAAGCGTTGTTATCATTTCGCTTTAAATGCAGTAACTGTGTTATAAGTTAATTGAATTATATCAAAATTTGAAGTTGAGGTGCTTGTGCTATGCAAAAAGCAATGCCATTAACAGTTAACCAAAATTTTGTCAAAAATTTGGATTCCCGCTAAATTGGCATACTTTGGCATTGTATTTTTCTGTCAATTAAAGAAACGTTAGAACAAAACTGATTTCAGATTCGGCGTTTTCAGGTCAAAATGCATATGATAGCATTTTAAAATTTTCAAATGGGTCAATTTTTACCAAAATTACTATTTTTTACAAGCCCAAATCACTTTCCTATAGGATTTTACTTCATTTTTTGAACCTAAAACTGGTAACTCTTAAACTACTTATCCAAATTACTTCAAAATTTCCAGAATTGTTAAAAAGAAGAAATAAACATTTTAAAAAACTTTTTTAAAAGTTTTCCTACATTTACCACGTTTTTATATTACTTTACCGTGGTATCTTTTGAATTTACAGGCAGTAACTTTATTATCAAGTGATAAAAATTCACCAAACTTTGTATGTATACTACTGATACACTGTAAAAAACAGTAGCGACAATATTTTGATTAAACCTTAACAAAAATTTGAATTCATGCAAAATTGGCAAATCTTGGCATTGTGTTTTTCGGGCTTTTACAGTAAAGATAAAACAAAATTTGTTTTAAATTTAGCTTTTTTTAGATCAAACTGCATATGATAGCATTTTAAAATTTTTAAATTGTTCAACTTTTACCAGAATTATAAAACGTGACACATAAACACAGATAAACACAATTTTTTAATTTTTACTTTAGTTATCATCGGTATATACTCAGTTACTGTCGTATCTTTTGACTTTGCATACAGTAACTTTGTTATCAGGTGATAAAAATTCACCAAACTTAGTATGTATACTACTGATACACTGTAAAAAACAGTAGTGACAACATTTTGGTTAAACTTAAACAAAAATTTGAATTCCTGCCAAATTGGCAAACCTTGGAATTGTGTTTTTTGGCCATTTACAATAAAGATAAAACAAAATTTGTTTTAAATTTAGCTTTTTTAGATCAAACTGCATATGATAGCATTTTAAAACTTTTAAATTGGTCAACTTTTACCAAAATTACTATTTTTTCAAGCCCAAATCATTTTTCCTATAGAATTTTACTTCATTTTTTGAACCTAAAACTTGTAACTTTTAAACTAATTATTCAAATTACTTCAAACTTTGCAGTATTGTAAAACGTAACAACTAAACACTAACAAAAATTGTATTTCTGACTTTAACTTTTTTTATCGTGTGTATTTACTGGGTTACTGTGGTATCTTTTGACTTGACATGCAGTAACTTTGTTATCGGTTGGTAAAAGTTTACTAAAATTTGAAGTGAAAGTATTTATACAATACAAAAACCAACACAACTAACATTTAAACAAAATTTTGTCAAAAATTCAAATTCCCGCCAAATTGGCAAAACTTGGCATTGCGTTTTTCTACCATTTAAAGTGATGACAGAACAAAACGGTTTTCAGATTTGGAGTTTTCAGGTTGAAATGCATATAAAATCATTTTAAAATTTTAAAATTAGTTAATTTTTGTCAAAATTATAATTTTTATAAGTCCACGTCAGTTTCCTATAGTAGTTGACACGGTTTTCGAAAAATACACTCTTTTTTAACCATAAAAATGTAAAAATTAAAAAAAACCAAATTTAACAAAAAAAAATTTTTTCTGTTACTTTGATGTTACTTTAGGCTTAAATAGACCCTAGTAATATTGACAGTTTACATAAATATTGCCAAATCCATAGTAGTTACCATATATCTCCACCCGCGAAGTGTCCATACTTTATGGACACTTCGTTGGTTCCCGCGAAGTGGGACATCCCAACTCGCGGGTGCCCCCGCGAAGTGTCCACCCGCGAAGTGTACATCACTCGGTTAGAAATACACTTTTTTTGAATAAAATTTTATAATTTTAAAATTATATTTTCGAAGAAAAAAAGATGGTCGTATTTTACAAAACAAAACTGAAAATTCACTTAAAGTTTGGTTTTTAAAATTTAAATTAAAATTTATTTTTTAAAGAATAATCAAGGAATTTCACCAAATATCCTCGGCTTTTGATAAGTAACATACTGTACATAGAATGGAAAAGCATAAAAATTTGAATTTTTTAATCAAAATATTGTTTAGCTAGCCAAAACGTCATTATAAAAACAAAATTCTAAAAAGAAACTAGTGAACTTGAAATTTACATGTAGCCTTGCCTAATTCTTTGACCGCTAATATCTCGCTAGCCGATAATACTTTGCAGTTTTTAGAAACAGCTTTCTCGTTAACTTTTTGTACTCTTGCGTCCTATGTAGATCTAATTCTAAACGTCAAGGTATATATGTTGCAGCGCTTTAGAAAGGTAAAGGGAATAGTTTTATGAAATTTAAAATGTAAACAAAATAGATAAATAAAATTATTACCCATTTTTAAAAAAAATCAAAACAAGCCAAAAAGATTTAATTTTGGAAATGAAACGCGCAAAAATTTAGGCATGCGAATGTGGAGGACTAAACCAGTAATTATAATATTTGATGACACGAAAGGTGCGTATTATTTTAATTAACTACATTTTACGCATTTATAAATACAATTTTTAATTATTTGGAGTTAGTTTTGAAAAGCTTTTTTTAGGTAATAGGTTTTATACAATGAGCTTTATTCACAAATAGAGGTATTGATATCACTTTGAAAGGTAAACCATGCATTAAGAACATAATAAGCTACTATAATATGTATAGAAAGAAATATATGTTAAGTTAACAAGCTTGATATAATATAGTATTATGCTCACAATCTTTATAAGAACCAATACTGACTAGGAGCATATCCATTGCTCTGTCCACTCCCACCACTCTGAGCTCTATCATAACCGCCGAACTGAGAAGGCCCAGCGATCTTATCGATGTGAGCTCCCAGAATATGACTGACACCACAATCCGACGCACAATAGGCAGCCGGTTGGCCAGGCTCTCCAGGTGGTCCAAATGGTCCATCCAGTCCATCGAATCCACTGTTTCCAGGTGGTCCCTCTGGTCCTACTGGTCCTGGTTGTCCAGGTTGGCCAACTTCTTTGGATGGTCTGCCTGGAGGTCCTGGTGGTCCCTTGGGACCAGCTGGACCTGGTGGACCACGAATACCCTTGATTCCGACTCCGGCTACAGCTGTTTCTCCTGGAGGACCTTGAGGACCGTCGATTCCACGGATGCCAATACCTCCTACACGACCAATGTAACCTGGAGGACCTGGTTGGCCTGGTCGACCGTCTGGACCGGGTTGTCCGACACCCCCTGGACCACCTGAGCGACCACGTTCTCCTTGTTGACCACTGAAAGATTTAAAAATAAATTTACGTAATTATTAAATTTTTTAATTCAAAACATTAAAATTTAAAAATTTTTAAATTTTAATTTTATTAACTCACCGTTGACCAGGTGGGCCTCCAGGGCAAATGACACAAGGTAGTTCAGGCTCATTTTCCAATTGAATGTCAAATCCATCATCTCCAGCATCTCCAGGGGATCCAGGTGTGCCAGGTGTTCCGTCATCGCCAGGTACGCCAGCTGGTCCTGTTGGTCCAACTGGGCAGCCAAGAGAGTGACAACCTTGACATAGACGTTTGTCCCAGAAGGAGTCACGAGGTCGACGACTAAAGAATAGTACTGCTTGGCCTGGAGAGCCCATACTGTAGACCATCAAGTTGGCCCAGATCTTGTCTGATCGTATCTGAATAAGAGGCTTGTTACTTTCAAATTTGAATAATTTTTTTTAAAATACGAAATTTTGCCAATAAAAAAAATTTTAGTTAATATTCCACTTTGTTTGATTAAATAAGTACTGTATCTTACTTTAAAACTGCTGGATCTCTCAGCAATCTCTTGTTCCAGCTGGGATGTCATCATGTACAAGTATGGTACTGAACAAACTAGCATGAATATCACTGCAGCACTAGAAAATGCAGCAAAATAAGCCACGTTTCTAGCCGTCTTATCTGCATACATTGTAGCTTACAGTAAGGTAACTACTGTATATACAGTATGATAAATACTGTACTAATTAAAAAAAATAGAACTATTAAGAAGACTATGCAGTACAGTATTTTAACAACAGTATAAACTTAAGTACTCAAATGTATAAATAAAGAAAGAGCACTACTAAACTATCACAATACCTTATCCAAAGCAAGATAAACAAAGGTGAACGAACAGTCGATAAAAAGTGAAATTTTTGTTTTTTATAGTGTCGCAATGACCTATTTTGTGGAATTCAGATAAATCAACGATGATCGCTGCTATTTGCAACTTTCTCTTTCTAATCACAAACCGGAACTTCCGAATTCACAGGTGAGCGACCTAGTTTCTCGTTAAAGTACATGATTAAGAACAACTTGTTTTCTTAAGCTGAGAACAACGGTTTAAAGATAATTACAAATAAAGCTAAATGAGAATTGTAGCTTTATTTATAACTTCATACTCAAATTACAAAGTTTTTCCTTTCAAAGCCATTCGAGTTCAATATTTTTCGATTTTTATCAAAAGTCTTGCTCTTGAATTTGGTTTAACTATAGTTAAACAACCTTAAACCAATATTAATATAATTTTAAGTTTAAGGAACCTCATCAAACGTGATATTTATTTTTATAAAAAATATTCTTCTTGTTCGTTGCAAACTGCGACAATGCGGTTCAAGGCTTGACACCACAATCAGTTTGCTTTAACGTCAAGTTGCTATTCAACACATCAAACTTGGTTTATATCTTTGCTTTGAAATATTATTTGTATGGACAGTAGCGGATATTAATTGCTTTCTGTAAAATTTAAAAGATTTTTGTTTTTGAGGTTCATTACATAGAGGACTACTTTGTAAAATATTATATAATATCCAAGTTAGCTGGCTATGAATAGATGTGTATATTAATCCAATATATGTATATATAAATCCAGCATATTCTCAAATCCGAATGACATGCCCTGTTCGCAGCCAAAAAACAAAAAGAAATATTCAAATTGGATTACACAACTTTTTGTGACATTCGCGCATCGCTGATTCCAAAAGGAAAAATAATTGGACGTGAAGGCTCTCAAATTATTTGCAAGGCAATTAGAGATCATGTTTTAACACGGTGTCAAATTGGCCTTCGGCAATCCACAGATTTTATGGCCAAACTTGGCTTTCCAGCCGGCTTTAAGTAGGTTTATATGCGGAAGTGCGGCTTCCAACGACCACGTTTCTTGTAATTGTTGCAGTTGTTTTTGTCTGGGGATGGCAGGAAAGGTTGGAGAAGAAATTTTAGAAGGTTAAGACTGGTTTTTAAGATTTTAAAAAGTTAATAGGAGTTTTCTAAAATTTGTCTGGAAAAGGTATAGCTGATTAAGCAATCCTAGAGGGGTGAATAAAAAATTAAACGAAATATCTCATGGCTTTTAGTAAGTGACCTATATACGAGTAAAGAACATAAAAAGTTGCTGAAAATATTTATTTTAAATATTGCTAAATGATATTACCTAGCGAGTTACAGTACCCTCAGTACTCTTATATGTCTAAAAGGTATAGCTTTAAAATTATATTTTTTTGCTATTTTTTTAAAAATTAAATAAAATCAAAAATTATAACTAAAAATATTTTTTAACCAAAATATTGCTTGACTAGCCTAAAGGTCTTGTCGTGATGGCAAAACGCCAAAATAAAACAGGGGATTTCAACTCACCGTCTTCTGCACGTCATGCAGATTATTTTAATCCTCATAAATCGCTAGGAAAGGCTATTTGGCAGGTTTTAAAAACAGTTTTCTCTGTAACTTTTTATGTTTTTTCATACTATATAAGGTATGTTTTAAAAGCCATGAGTTATTTGGGACAATTTCTTAGTAAAGGGCTAAAAGTAAACTTTTATGATTAGCAGATAGAATTGATTTAAAAACCTTTGTCTAGTTATGACTTGTTATAACTTTTTTCAATTTTTTAAACGTAACCTTTTTTAAAATACATAAATAAGCATATGATACTTTTATATTGTATATCCTTGTCTTTAAAACTTACATTCTTTAAATTATGTGACAAGCGTTTTTTTGTCGTAGAAAGGCTGTGGCCAAAAACATGTTGATGAGACACATATTACGTATGACTTGCATATTGTTTCCAGAAAATTAATTAAAAACAATTTATTCGACATTTAGACTAATTCGCATTGTAATGTGTCAAGTTATCTTCAAAATACTAGACTCTTCAGAATTGGGTTGGAATATGTTACGATAGTTACTGTGAATGTACGTGACGTGTAATGTTAAGGCTGTAAGTATTTTTTTTTGCCTAACAATCTGTTTTTTTATTATGAGTCTATTAGGCTTAGCTACTAGCGTTTACAGTGTACGATATATATATGTTATTAGTGCTAAGGCCATAAGGGATAGTAGGTTAGACTAAACTACATTTTAATTTTAACGTCATGCACTTTAACGCCACAGACCTTACCGTACTTACAAATTTGTTTACTTTTACAAATTGATTTTTGGCGGTCTAAATTTCCTAATAAAGGCTGGCTTTATTTATGCTTTGAAGCCAATTACAGCCCTAAAAATATAGTCGGGCGTGACATATACTCAAAAGCAAAGATAGTCGAGCGAGATACATATTTGAAAGCATGTCTTAACAAGGTACTTGTCCTTAAGTACACGAACATCTGCACGTCGTTACACTATAAGCGGGTATTTAGGGTCTTTAGTCTGTTTACTTAAATTTTGCAAAAATAAAAAATTTTTACCCTACCCTACCCTACCCTACCCTACCCTATCCTACCCTACCCTACCCTACCCTACCCTACTCTACCCTACCCTACTCTACCCTACCCTATTCTACCCTACCCTACCCTACCTTACCCTACCCTACCCTACCCTACCCTACCCTACCCTATTATAGTTGTTACCTAAAACATAGAGTAACCTTTTTTTGCAACATTTCAGCCTTTTACTCTTTTCAATTTTACTTGTTTTTCATTTTTTCACGTTCACGTCCCCATCCCTTCGCGCAGACGTGAAATAAACAGGAACTAAACTCGGCCCCAAACCCGATTACTGTTGGCCAATTGAAGCCGTTCAGTCATCGATTCAATCAAAGCCGGAAATTGGCCTAGAATCCTCCCGAGAGTCTTGAGTACGTCTCAATTTAACGTTTGTATTGTTCTTGTTGTTTACACTCGAGGAACGTTAGGTAATCTAATTTTGAGACAAGATTTACACTTTTTATCTCAATGTTCCAGACTATTGTCTCTTATTTACTGTGGTTGGGAATAGAAGATTTTACAGTTTATACGGTTTTTTTGATATTGTTATCTTTTTTGGTGTTTTAATATTTTTAAATTTAGTTTTTTAACTTCATTTTTTATTTTATATTAAGATTTTATTCTTGCAGTGTTTAACAAGGCTACAGGGCTTTTATATGAAAGAACAGTTTGAACGTTAAGCAGGTGTGCAGTCGTGTCCGAGTGGTTAAGGAGATTGACTAGAAATCAATTGGGCTCTGCCCGCACAGGTTCGAATCCTGTCGACTGCGGCATAGTTTTATCGAATTTTTTAGATAACAAATAGCACTAAAAACTACATTTTTTATTTTTTAAAGTTTTTAAAATTTAATTCAAAGTAAAAAAATTAAAATCAAAATTTGTAAGTAAAACTAGCTTTTTAAGTTGAAACTTTTGGGAAAATAGAATTATTACCAATGAAGTTGCTCTTTGTTTATAAAATAAGGTTTTGCAATTTTAGCCATTATAACCGATGTATGTTTTAAAAATATAAATGATAATTTTTTGCTAATAATTCCCACCAGAGTATATGCATATATAACAGCAGACACGTTTTCTATATTACCATACATATAAGGAACTACACTTTCATTAATTATTTCTTATGAGAAACGTTGAGTTTTGTGCATAATTTTCATGCATTTTCATTGGTGTAACACTTTATATGGTGTTCGCTCATTATTTTTTAAAGCATACGTACTAGTTAAACGTACAGCTATTAGAAGTACACACCGTCCTTATAGTTGAAGTTACTTTCAATAGCTTACATAGTTTTGTCTACTATTGACTATAGAATATTTGGAATACTTTACTATAACCTCATTATTCAAAACAAGCATGTTTATGAAGTTTCCGATGTAAAGTGCAGAACATGTGAACTTGAAAAAACAATTGGTTTATCGGAATTTATTCATTCTTTGGACTTCGGAAACCCGTTTTTCTTGGTCTTGGGTTCATACTTTTTATTTCTCACAAGAGTTTTGACTGTTTTTTATTGTGTTTTGAGTTACAGTTAGACTGGTAAAGGAATTGGAATTAATGTTTAGTCTAGGCTTGCGGACCGAGTTTAGGTTTGGGTTTCGGCTCTCTGGCTCATATGGCTAAGCTGGTTCTTTTCAAATTTTCTTTGGGTTGAGGTTGGATTTAGTGGGGTCCTCAATGGTAATATATGTTCTTGAAAGGAAACCATTAGCTACTAAAAATTGTACTTTTGATGACTTTAGTGTTTGTAACTATTTTCGAAGGTTTTAAGCCGTTTGTCATTTGAAAGACAACGAGGATGGATTAGCTTTGTCTACAAAAACTTGACAAACGAGCTTCGTTGCCTTACCTTTGGCCTAGGACGTTTGTTCATTTATGAATGTTGTTTTATTGTCAACATGTTTTAAAGTGGTTTTGGCAAGATTTATTGTTGACTTTCAGTAGCACATTTTACCGTACAATTAATTGCGGAATATAAATTTTTAATTATTAGGTGGCGACATAAAGAACCCGCCATTTTTTACAAAAGCTTGCAGGAAAAGTATGGCGAGTTCTTTATGTCGGCACTTAATATTTTACATTACTTCTCGTACTGTGGTTTTCTTTCAATTTTTTGAAGTTTGATTTAAGTACAAAATAAATTTTTGTACCTAAAACAAACTAAGGACTAAAGTTACAGTAGCTTGTTTAGCAAAACATTTCACTTCCTGGATTGCAGACACTA